AAACCTAAGGACATTTAGCCCAGGCTCATTTCCTGGTTAATTTTTTAAGAACATGGGTTGCTAGGAATCGGAATACTGGATGAACTTCAAAAGATGTGAAAGGCTCTGCCTGGACCCACACGGTTCAGATAGGGTCCCCCTGTGAGCACAGCGCTCATTTTTTCCTTTCATTTCGGCTCTTCTCCGTTCTTTACATTTCTTTCTGACCTCCCTCGCAGGTTTTAAAAGGCTCATTTTTTAAGCTTTTATTTAAGACAAAGAATTTCTGCAAAGCCTTAGAAAATGGAACGGAGTTATTTACTTTCCAAAGATGCGAGCAATAAAATAGTCTTAAAAGTCAGTGGCATTGATATATGAACTCAAAAAATTAAAGGCTAAATTTTTACCCAAGCTACGTTAATGCAGAAAACCTCAACAGATCAAGTTTTCTTTCTTTTTACATTTTTTAATGTTTATTTTTGAGAGAGAGAGAGAGCAGGGGAAGGGTAGAGCGAGTGGGAAACACAGAATCTGAAACAGGCTCCAGGCTCTGAGCTGGCAGCACAGAGCCCGACGCAGGGATTGAACCCACAAACCATGAGATCATGACCTGAGATGAAGTCAGACGCTTAACCAACTGAGCCACCCAGGCGCCCCTCAAGTTTTCTTTCTATGTTCCCATTCCTTCCTGATTTCGGCCAGATCTGAAATGCCACAAAACAGCACCACTTTGGTTGTTCGTTTTAATATGACACAAAAGTTTCCATGTTTGAACACTGATGGAGACGTGGATTTCTCATTTATATGAGATAGGAAGCAAAGGAAAAACGGGAAGTGGACAACAGTTGTAAGAATGGACGGCCTGTATCTGCAGACCGATAAGCTGCTGCCCAGCCCTGCCCTTCGTATTTCTAGGCTCCGTGGGTACGGGGAGGCCCACCTACCATACAGGCAAACTGTGCGGGTTAAAACTGAGGAAACAACAATTTGGCAGTTCCTTAAACTGTTCAACATGCAGTTACTACATGATCCAGCAATTCCACTCCTAAGTATAGACCCAAAAGAAACAAAACACAGCGACTCAGACAGCTAACTACACCAGTGCTCACAGCAACAACGTCTGTAATAGGCAAGAGGTGGGAAGAAAAAAAAAAAGAAAAAAGAAAGAAAACACCCGAGGGTCCACTGAAGGATGAATGGAGAAACACAGTGAGTATATACATATAATGGGACATTATTCAGCCGAATAAAAAAGGGAGTTCCAATACTCACTACATAAGGCATGAACTGAAAGAAGCACAACAGCAAAGGAAAAATAGTATACGATGCCACTTATAGGAGGTACTTTTATAGGAAATTCTTTTTTTTTTTTTTTTTAATTTCTGAGAGAGAGAGACAGACAGAGAAGGCAAGGGAGGGTCAGAGAGAGAAGGAGACACAGAATCCGAAACAGGCTCCAGGCTCTGAGCTAGCTATCAACACAGAGCCTGACACAGGGCTCGAACCCACAAACTGCGAGATCATGACCTGAGCTGAAGTCGGACACTTAACCGACTGAGCCAACCAGGTGCCCCTACAGGAAATTCTTAAGGGCATAAAGAATAGAGGAGTTAGCAGGGACTCGGGTAGGAGAAGGTAGAGAGCCGGTGTTTGCATGGGTATAAGAATTTTTATTTGGGATGATGAAAAAGTTATAGAAAAAGATAGTGGTGATGGGTGCACAACACTGTGAAAGTACTTAATGCCGCAGAGCGAAACACTTAAAAATAATTAAAGTGGTCAATTTTGGGTATATTTGGTATATATGTATATTTTGCGAGTCTCTGACCACATTAAAAAAAATACATTATTAAGGAAACAAGGACATGATCTGTTAAATAAGTAAGTTAGATCCTATCCTCTTATCTTGGTAAATAGACCTTTTGGTATCACTTGAATGTAGGCGGGTGCAGTTCTCTGTCTCCCACCAGAAATGTGACAGTGTGGCCCCATAATCAAGCAGCACCGTTATCTGCCTGGAGGGACCCCTTGGTGACGGTGTGGTGTGACCGCAAGAGGAGGAATCCACACAACAGGCCTGTGTGCGCTTGCAAATCCGCTCCAGACTATGAGCACGAAATTGCCAGAGCCTCATATAGAAGCCGGCACAGGCTGATTGCGGGCACGTTCCTTTGGCCCACAGGATATGTGGATGCCTTGCTCCACCGTAGAGGGAGGGATGATTACATACATGTGAGCCAAAGTGGGGGCCCTCTTCAATATGGGGTCCAGTGTATGCCCCTGCCTCGTAAGGTCTAAGAGCAGAACTGGATTCTCTGATTGATTCAGAAGCCATTCATTTCTCCTCGCCAGTGTCACTGACGTGATAGCCCTTCATCGCAGACCCTTCTGATCTTGGACGGATATAAAAGTCTTTGGGCTCACATGGGTGTGACAGATCTTTTCTATTTTATGAAATAGCTATGGTGCTAATCCATGTAGAATAATCCCTTATTCTCTGGAAATTAAGTCTTCATTAGAAAACAATTGTTCTCCGTGGTTACAGTAGCATCTTTATGGATGCTGCTAGGTTGTTTCTCAAATGCTGACAAAATTCTTTTTTTAAATGTTTTATTTATTTTTGAGAGAGAGAGAGAAAGACAGCATGAGCAGGGGAGGGTCAGAGAGAGAGGGAGACACAGAATCTGAAGCAGGCTCCAAGCTCTGAGCTGTCAGCACAGAGCCTGATGCGGGGCTTGAACCCACGAACCATAAGATCTTGACCTGAGCCTAAGTCAGACGCTTAACCGACTGAGCCCCCCAGGCGCCCCTCAAATGTCGACAAACTTCTGCACCAAAAGGCAGGCCATGAACTCTACCTTCGGGCCCCAGAGCACGTCGCGGACGTTCTTTGGCAGCTTCCATAGTTTCAGTCGCAGAGCCCACTTCTCTAATTAAATTCATCTGCCAATAAGTAATGAAAACCCTAGTCATCTGACTGTAAAAAATGTTATGGTTGATACAGAATGAATAGAATCATAGCCTTCTCCTCTCGTAGTGAAAATAAGAAACTGAATCCCCACCGTGATGGATTCTACCCACTCTACCCTCCATCTCTTCCTCTTAAAGAACCATGTCTATAGCAATGTAATCATTTCTCTGTAGATTTACTGCGCCAGGCAGAGAACTGAGCCACATGACTTTGGTATCTTCTTTGGATTTTGCAAGCATACTTGTTAGCTCTTCCTGCTGTGAACAGACTTGGTTGTTTTCATATTTAGAGGACGATTCCGGAATACCATCCGTATGATTGGAAATTCAAAATACGTCCTTTTGTTCTCCTTAAGAAACCAAATTGTCCCAACCTGTTTTTTTTTCTCTCTTTTGCAAAAGAGACCTTCACATTTCCATGTTAACCTACAGATTTGATTACTGTGGTTTCTCACTGATTCACTTATATGTCACTATGGAACTCATCAAATTAAACCAACACTACAGAAGCAGTGGTGACAGGCAAAAGCCATCTATTGATGCTAAGATTAGTGGGCACATGTATGATGAAACACAGGATATTTCCATAGACTCAAAGTACCTCTCCAGAAGATACTTCTAAATTACAACATTAAAAATAGTTGTGCTTTTCTCATCACGGGGCCTCAGTGGTACAGGAGATGGACACGGCAGATGCCATCGAAACCCAGGGGTTCAGATTTATACCTCATGCACCTGAGATCACTTGAGGAGAAAAGCATCACGTCACCTCGACGGTATTTTTGGAAATATGTATAAGCTCCATCTAATCGTGCGAAAACATCAGAAAAAGCCCAAGTGAAGGATGTTCTACAAAATAACTAACCAGGACTCTCTGGAAGGTTCTAGGTGACAAAAGACAAGAGTGAGGTGGGGACGGATTGGAAAACAGGGAGAGACAGCAAATACTGGCCTCACAGAGTCTGGAACTGGAAAACATTAGTGGCCAAACTGGGAAACTGCAAGAAGGTCTGTAAACTAGTCAGTAGAATCATTAATTGAACATAGTAGCAAGATCACTATTAATATCCTATATTACTGTATTTTACATCATATATGACCATATATTATTTTATGTTATGAATGCCATGCCATTATTAATAAATAAGTAATGGTACTAAGAGCTAATAGTAGAAGTATTAGTTACAACAGTCAGTTATAGTGTTATGAATAGAAATTAGCAATAATATTAGTAAATGGTAATTTCCAGATCTCCCTAAATATGCTATTGTTGTAGAGGATGCTAACATCAAGTGAAGCTGGGAAAAAGGGGATACAGGAAATCTCTACATTTACAACTTTTCCGTAAGTCTAAATTTATGAAAAGTAGAGCCTCAAAAACACAAAAACAAGGCATCTTCAGGGGTGCCTGGGTGGCTCAGTCTGTTAAGGGTCCGACTCTTGGCTCAGGTCTTGATCTCACGGTTCATGGGTTCGAGCCATGTATAGGACTCTGCACTGCCATCACTGACCCTGCTTGGGATTCTCTCTCCCTCTCTCTCTCTCTGTTCCTCCACTGTTTGTGCTCTCTCTCTCTCTTTCAAAATAAATAAACACTAAAGAAAAATAAAAACAAAACAAGGCATCCTGGGCACACCCTCTTTGTCCTCTGTCCCTCTTGCATGTACCTGGCAGGCAGGCACACTTTTCAAGGACAGCAGCATAAGGTAACAGGGGACAAGCTGGGACAGCACTGCCCAGACAGCCTGAGTCCCTGATGCCCGCAGAGCCGCAGCCACTGAGCCAGCCTCGCATCGCCTGCCTGTCGCCCACCTCTTGTCATGTGTGGAAAACAACACAATTCAATCAAGCCACTGAAAAAATAAACGACTCTGATTTTTTAACTGTCCCTTATTCTCTGGAAATTAAGTCTTCATTAGAAAACAATTGTTCTCCGTGGTTACAGTAGCCAAGGGTGTTGTATACAATGACAGTCTAGATTTACACATTTCCTTCACCTGCCCAACGTGGGGGTCATTATACAAGATGTCTTCAACATCTATCAAGTCCATGAGAAAACAACATTGATGGTGCACTGATATTGGCATCTGCTTATATCTTATATTCATAAAGCAGGTAACGTGTACAAAATGTGCCATGTGCGTCATCCTGTTTAATTACCTCAATGAGTCTCCTTGGTATATACCGTTATTTTCATTTGTGATGGAAACTGATGTTCAGAGAGGCTATATTACTCAAGATCATATAGCTCCTGTTGTGGTTTAAAATACACCCATATGGGGGTGCCTGGGTGGCTCAGTTGGTTAGGTGTCTACTGATTTCGGGTCAGGTTGTGACCTCACGAACTGGGAGATGGAGCCCTGCGTCAGGCTCTGTGCTAACAGCGTGGAGCCTGCTTGGGATTCTCTCTCCCTTTCTCTCTGCCTCTCCCCTGCTCAAGCATGTGCGCACACTCTCTTTCTCTCTCTCTCTAAATAAATAAACACTTAAAAATATATATATATAAACACCCATATACACTGTGTCACTCCTCATGTCCAATGCTAATACAGACCTACTTCTGCACTGGAGAGTAGCTGACCTTAGTGACTTCCTTCTAATTAATGGGATATGTAGAATTGATGATGTGTGACTTTAAGACTAGGTCATAAAAGGCATTGTGGTTTGCCTCTTGTTCTTCCTTGCACAGCTCAGTTTCTGGAAAGCCAGTTGCTAGGTGTGCAGAACATCAAGGTGACGGTGAAGAACAGATTCTTCCTCCCAACAACCTGCGAATGAGACGTTTGGGAAACCACTGTTCTATGTGGACGACCTTCATACAGTAAAAGACCCAGCCTCCAGCTCAAATGCCACCTGATGGGAGATCCCAAAACAAAACCACCCACCTAAGCCACTTCCAAATTCCAGAACCACAGAACCTGTGAGAGATGACACACAATTAATTAATTAATATATATATTAATAGTAAGGGCTAGATTTAAATGGTTTAAGTTTATTCTTAGAGAGAGAGAGAGAGAGAGAACAAGAAAGGGGCAGAGAGAGAGAGGGAGAGAGAGTCCCAAGAAGGCTGTGATCCATCAGCACTGAGCAGTATGGGGTTTGAACCCATGAACTGTGAGATTATGACCTGAGCCGAAACCAAGAATAGGGCATTTAACCAACAGATGGCTAGACTTAAACTTAACTGGCTCCTCTGATCTCAGATCGGGAGTTCTTTTTTTACTCTATCGCAGTCGCCTTCTTTTGGACAAACCACAAGATGGTCCATTGTTTTGCTATGATCATGACTCACTCAGATAGAAAAGTCACTCTGTAATCATGGCTCTCAGACACAGGAGGATTCTGCTATTGTTTGGATGGTGTCTGTCACCACTTCAGAGCTTGGGCTCCCAGCGTGACATAACATTTCACAGTTAACAGAGGGAAGGAGTAGAAAAAGTCTCTTATGCTGTGGAATCCATGAAATAATATTTACGGAATATATCATGACAATGTATTAAGATATACTTTAAGCCATATTTATTTAAATAAATATAAAGTATTATTTAAAATGAAGTATATTTATTTAAATAAATAATGCATAAAGACAACAACTTTGCCCATCAAAGGATTTATAACTACAGTAGTTTGGCCATTTAGAAGAGGTAATTAAATCAGAGTAGCTCCAGTTAGCTATTCTATTGATGTAGAATTACTGGATCTTACGTGATTTGTGTTGTTTATATGATTTCTTTTTAAAAAAATTTTTAATGTTTATTTATCTTTGAAAGAGAGAAAGAGAGACAGAGCATGAGTGGGAAAGGGATATAGGGAGGGAGACACAGAATTAGAAGCAAGCTTAGGCTCTGAGCTGTCAGCACAGAGCTCAGTGTGGGACTCGAACCCACAAACCATCGGATCATGACCTGAGCCCAAGTTGGATGCTTAACAGACTGAGCCATCCAGGCGCCTCTGTTTACTTGATTTCTTTGTAGATCTACAAACAAAATCATTAGGGTTAAATGTAGTAATAATGAATACAATAGGGTAAATTATGCACACGTGAAAATTATGAGGGGTACAGCAAGTTTCATGAGAGTTATTAAATCTCTAAATGATATTGCTTTGTTATAACATAGCCTCACACACACACACACACATACACACACACACACATTCTTGCCCCACGTGCACACGTTTTGATGCCCCTTCTCTCCCAAGGGCTAAAATGGGACCCCAAGGCAGCAAAGTGCCCAGAGTGGCCTTAAATAAAACTTGGAGGGGAGAATGCTGTGTGGCTTGCAGGGTTGAAGATTGGCCCCGTTTCATTCTCATCTTGAAGTCAGTCCTTCCTGCTGTCCCACAGCATCTGTGGCTCCGGACGGATTCTACATGTGTTCTAGTCATGCGGCTTACGTGCAGATGGGCAATCCTTTTCAGCAGAACTTGACGTTCCAGCCCACATGGAAGAGAAGTATCAATGGCAGGCCGAGCAGCCACTGTCCCCTCTGGGAGCCGCTCTTTGTCCTCCTCGTGCGAGCTCGACTGAGGCACTAATCACTTTAGCATGCCTGTGTGCATGCCTAAGTGTCCTACGTTAAATGTGGCCCACAACCCCCCTTTTTTTCTTTTTCAAATATATCTTCCATCGATCCCCTGCTGTGTTTCTACTCTAAAAGCACGAATAGCTCAGAAGTTGACAGGAAATATTTTCCTCGTGTTCAAAGAACTTCATACTAAACTTCATATAAAAAAAAAAAGAAGAAAGAAAGAAAAAAAGAAAGAAAGAAATGGAATGCCCCTAATTGTTTAAATGAAGAGTTGCTTCCAAATGATTGACATCCATTTTTTTGTTGTTGTTAGGTAGATTCACAATGGTCTTTAGAACTCTAATAATTATCACTTGTATTTGGTTACCATCTGCCTCTGTCGATTTCCTATTACATAGAGATAAACAATTAAAACTTCAAGGACAAACATTAACAAAACATATAGGAGTAGGAAAGCAGTAAGAAATTTTAGAAGCAGGATGTGAGAACCTTCAGTTTATACCCTGACATGGGAAACCTAGGGCTTCCTCACTCCTGCCCTAATAAGAAAATTCACTGAATCTTCTGGGATGCGTCAAAGAGCTGAGGTTACAGGATCAAATGCCACCTCATCCACACAGACACAACCACGACCTGCTTATGCAGAAATACGAGTATGCATAGCAAGGCTGTGGAGTTCACTGATATTAAGAAGCTCACTGCCTTCTTACTTATGAGAGATGAAGACCGAAACTTGAAATTAAATAAACCCACCATGTATAATAGCATATAGTAAAGGAAATATTTAGATATAAATCTAACAAAATATGTACATGATTTATATATGGTATAATTTGTATGTACATAAAACACTGATAAAATAAAACAAAAAAGATCTAAGTAAATGGAGATATATTCCATGTTCATTGATTAGAAGGATTTACATTAATTTTTTTAATATTTATTGTTATTGAGACAGAGAGAAACACAGCATGAGTGGGGGAGGGGCAGAGAGAGAGGGAGACACAGAATCCGAAGACAGGCTCTAGGCTCTGAGTTGTCAGCACATAGCCCGATGCGGGGCTCGAACCCACTAATAGTGAGATCATGACCTGAGCCAAAGTTGGACGCACAACCGACTGAGCCACCCAGGTGCCCCAGGATCCACATTTTTAAAATGTCAATTCTTTACCGTTTTATCTATACATTCATTGTGATCTCAGTAAAAATCCTGGTAAGCTATTTTTCAGATATCAACAAATCAATTCTTTTTGTTTCAAGTTTATTTATTGATTTTGAGAGAGAGCATAGAATGAGCAGAAGAGGGGCAGAGAGGGGGGGAGAGAGGGGATTATAAGCAGGCTCCATGCTGTCAGCACACAGCCCAACCCCAGGCTCTGTCCCATGAACCGTGGGATCATGACCTGATCTGAAATCAAGAGTCGGACGCTTAACCAATTGAACCACCCAGGCACTCCAACAAATCAGCTCTAAAGTTTATATAAATGGCAAAATATCTAGATTAAGCAGTACAATATACAAGAAGAAGAAGAGGAAGAAGAAAAAGAAGAGGAAGAGGAAGAAGATAGTCCAAGGGCTCATATTACCCAATTTCAAGATTTACTGTAAAGCTACCATAATGAAGACAGAACTGTATTAGCCACAGGACAAACACTGGGATCAATGGAACAGAGCACAGACCCAGATATCAATACATACAAATATAGTCAACTGGTCTTTGACAACGGGGTAAAGATGATTGAAAGAAGAAAGGACAGAGTTTTCAACAAATGATATCGGATTCATTGGACATCCACATGCCAAAATAGGACAAACAAATAAGAAAAAACCTTAGACCTTACACAGAAATGAACTCAAAGTAGATCACAACATATGTAAGATGCAAGCTATAAAACATTCAGAAAAAACACAGAAGGAAATCATTGTGATTTAGTGATGAGTGTTAAATACAACACCACTAGCACAATCAAAGCAAAAATATGTTGGACTTTAATAAAATCAAAAACCCTCTGAGAAAGACACTGCTCAGAGAATAAAGACAAGTCACAGACTGGGAGAAAATACTGCAAAACACATATCTAATAAAAGACTTATATGTAAAATATACAAACAATTTCTAAAATCCACCAAGAGACACAATCTTTTAAAATGGGCATTTCTTTCTTTTTTTAAAATTTATTTCTGAGGAAGAGAGAGACAGTGTGAGCAGGTGAGGGTCAGAGAGAGAGGGGACTCAGTCTGAGGCAGGCTCCAGGCTCTGAGCTGTCAGCACAGAGCCCGATGCAGGGCTCGAACCCACAAACCATGAGATCATGACCTGAGGTGAAGTCGGACGCTTAACCAACTGAGCCACCCAGGCGCCCCCAAAAATGGGCATAATTTCTGAAGAGAACTTTGCCAAAAAGATAAACAAATTTGTAAAAGAAGGATACAAATAAATCATTATTTGCCAACAGAAAATACAAATTAAGACAATGAAATAATCACTACACATTAAATGTCTAAAAAAAAAAAACCTGAGACTATGAATTCTGGCAAGGTTGTGGAGTAACTGAAACTCTCATGAACTTCTGATAAGAGCTCAAAATGATACATTTGCTTTAGAAGACAGATGGGCAGTTCCTTACAAACCAAAGCAAATCCTTACCATACAATCCCGCAACCATATTACTAAGCATTTAACCATATTATTTGAAAACTCATGTCCACACAAAAGCCAGCCAACAATTACTTATAGTGGCTTTATTCATAATCACTCAAAAGTGGAAACAACTGAGATGCTCTTCAACAGGTAAATGGATAAAGAGTGGTACATCCATGCAATGGGATATTATTCAGTGATAAAAAAAAAAAAAGAGCTATCAACCCATACACATATATAGATGAATATTAAATTAATATTACCAAATGAAAGAAGCCAGTCTGAAAAGGCTACATACTGTATGATCCCATTTTTATGACATTATGGAAAGACAAAAGAGATGATAACTGATTGATAGTTGCAATAGGTTCCATGGAAATGAGAGAGAATAAGGGATTAGGGGCAGAGGGAGTGAAACTATTTTGTATGATACTGTAATAGCAGATTTATGACATTATGCTTTTATCAAAAACGTGGAGACACAGCTGGGATCGGCAATATATAGAACAAGCCTGGAGCATGTTGAAGTGTCAGAAAGAGAATGTGCTCCGAAAATTCACAGTACCATCAAGAGGACACAGCAGCCAGCCGAGAGAGCCAAAATGGCCAAAGCTGTGACAATTTGACCAAAAATAAATACAGTGGGATTGG